TATTTTTCAGGAAAAGAACAACGCGATGGCGTGCCCTGGGTAGACCTCGGACCAACTATTAACAACTGGAAATTTTTTCCCAGGCCAACAACGATCCCACCTACAGCCCAAGTGCGAACTCCGTTGGAGATTTCATGCCTACCGTGTGCCTTGATGTTTTCTCCTTTCCCCAATTGCAGTGATACCAGTAAATATGGGCTTACAATTCATCTTTTCCGCAAACAATCAATTGTAATACTGTCTTGAGAAGTTCTGAATGACTGGTGTGTTGCAGAAAAATGCGCATAACAAATGATATGTAATAAAATATAAAAATGAGAAGTAGAGATTGTCAATTACAGACGATCCGTGTTTCCGTCGTTATGCGAACTGTATCATCGTGAATGCGCAACCCTATGAAAGACGGTGAGTAGTCGAGTTCTACTCCACCGGAGAATACTGTAGCTAGAATTCCTTTCACAAACCCCTTTGCAGTTTAATAGGGAGAAGTCCAAGGGTGGCCTATGTGCGAGGGGTTAAAGGCACAGTCCACGATGGGAGTGACCGGATCCGGTGCCACAGAGCCTGAACCACTTTTTTGAATGTCAGTACTGCAAGCAAGCATGTCAGAGACTTGTGATTTATTTCTCGTCACGCCTCCTTACCCGAGTAGGTGCGCAGTGAAAGTGCCGCCTGGAAATTAGGGTGTTCGCTGGTTAGTGTGTGTGCTCTGGCGTGATCTTCTTTGTCCGCAAGTGCTGCGTTGTTCACAATATTTTATGTTCTCTCACTGATCGTGAGGGTTAATACACTTGGCTGCTAATCCGCCTTCAGAAAAATGTAGAACCTTGGTTTAAGAGCCTGTTTATTGTTTGATAACTGCTGTTTTAACGGCCGGGCAGTACGCGAATGCGAGAAGCTATCAACAAGTAATGCTGAGGCGTATGGGAGAGAAGTCGGACACGGACGCGGATTCGAACGCCGCATCCTTCTGCTTACAACTGCCCCGGGTAAGCAGAAAAGATGCGGGTTTCGTAATGCGCCGTCCGTGGTCCGACTTTTGCCCATAGCTCAGCATTCTTGTGATAGCTTGTTAAGAGCGTTCTCCTACCCGATTACAAGTCCTGTTATATACCCCCTTGTCGGGAGATGCAGGGGCGTGGCTACATGCCGCGGCCGCAGTTCTTCTAGGATCTCTCCGTTTCAAGACGATAGGGAGCTACGTCTCACCCCAACAGCAGTATGACAGCTGTTTTAAATGGAAGCATCTTGCTCAAATTACGTCGTGCGCTATGTAAGAATTAAGTTCGAGGCCAACGCCCCGCTCCCCAGGTTGCGAGATAACATCCTGTTATCGCCAACTTTATCTTCGAACTCCCCACAACAGGCTTCCTGTTCTGCTCAGCACTGCCGAAAGCAACCAAAGGCAGATTGGAGGTTTATCACTTCCAAAATCTTCTTTCCAGATCGTCCATGTCCCTAGTTCACTGCAAATCTCACTGCCTCCACAGCCAAACTGGAGTGTACAGTTGCCGTTCTTTTGTTTACGATAATATCAATCAGGTAATTATCTTCACCCTGTTACTGTACTCAGTTGACCATTGTTACTAGTCTAAGTCTTCAAATAATTCCAGGTTTGTGATCTGTACCCTCACGTAGGCGATCAGGCACCTGCTCGGCTGCTGAAGTTTCAGACAAGGGATTATTATGAACCGACTCACGCTCTTCAATGCTTGGAGTAAGCCATTTCTAGTTTTGAAGCCAGAATAGACAGAAAGCAGAAAGTGGCTTGAGGATTAATCCGCGAAGAACTGGGACTTCTAAAGTGCGCCATGCATTCCTCCTCTGTTCAAAGTTTCAAAATCGATGAATGCATAGGTAGCCCCGTCGTGTGTTGGTTATGTCTCGTTAGGAAGCCACTACAACTCTGAATGGGAGTGGAATGTATGGCACCTCTTGAAAAAAGGCTCAGCAACGCCGAAAGTTGTTGTTTTTCGTTCACTAACTGTAGGGTTCATTTGCGAATTTGCTTCATTTGCCACCTGGATGCACCTCTGGGCCTTTAGAAAATAAATTTAACTAATAAATAAACAGACAAGTAAAACTCGGAGATAATTACAAATATTCACCTCATGAAAGCACCACTACAACCACATCTACGACAACCTCGCCAACTACTACCGAGTTCGTAACCGAACCAACAACTGAACAAGCTCGTAAGTCGAGAGTATTCGAAAAAAAGAAAGAAACTCAGCCTACCAAGGGGCATCACCCCTCTACGGCCCTACATTCGGGATAAATATTATTGCGAATAGCCACTTAAGGGAAAACACTGGAAACAGAAAAATTAACATTCTTTTGTCCGCAACGGACAATGGGGAGTGTCAGGGGGGTGTGTTTGGCTCATGGCGCCAAACCAGGCTTCCACCAAATGTAGTCGCCTGCCACCGGCGCGCGGCGGCCGCCCCCGCCCCCCGCGGCGGCCTTCCACTACTGGTAAAGATACAGCTGGCGCCAAAAGCCATCCGTCCGACGTCTACTGAGAATTGATGCAACCATACTAGAACTATTATGGTTTCAGCAGTAATTCGTGCAACGAAATTAGGATCGTCGAGAAGAATCCGGTGATATTGTGAAAGCCTTGCCAGAAGAACTCACTGAGCAGAGTCAACCTGATGTGCCTGAATCGGTGACGATGCGCTGCCCAGCAGGAAAGAAAATCAGGTTGGTGCACCGTCTTATCAACTTAAATGCGCTCTAAATTCAAAAAGTTTGCTCCGTTATGTTGTATTTATCGCCAGACTTCTCGTCGTTGCCTAGTGAATTTACAACAGGGTTACTGGCGTGGTGTGTGACTGCTTGCGGATCAGTTGAAAATCAAATGGGTCCCATGGTGAGGATTCAGGCGATCCCCGCCATTCGTCCCCTCCTCGCGCGCATTCCCTCACCACCCCCCTCCCCCCCTCTCGCACCCCCTGGATACAAAGGAGATTTCAAAGGTAGCGGAGTGGGCAGCACGGCGGAGATGTGAAAGGGGGTGCAGGGTGTTGTCCGAAAAATCGTCCTCACAAAGGCTAATTCTGGGTGGAACCACGAGAGCAAGACGGGTCTGGAGCGTTACTTCGCGCACAGTGCCACGAATTACAGCCTGCGTGTTGACCTACGCACAGGGTCCAAACCCACTTGACGCTGCAGTGTAGCGGCGCCTCGACTCCTTATTCTCTCTCTGTGCCTGCGTCTCTCAGTCAACCAGCTCTCCTTCTGTAGGTTTCTTTGCAGTCATTTAACTAGGAAATGCTCTGTTGGTGCGTGCAATGCCTCGACTTAAAGCAGACGCTCCTCCGTAACCCCCAGTCCTTCTGTCTGAACTCTGTGACGCGAAGTCGTTACAGGAGTGCAGCTGAGAACAGAGTAAGTAAGTTAGGAGGAAATTAATCCGTGCAGTACCTCTTGCAAATTACTTTTGAACGAACGAAGGCAACAGTAATATTGTAGTAACAAACAGGAATAAGTTGACTTCACTTGAAAACCGGTAAGACCGATTACATAGAGGGCGAGCGAAGCGCAGTGAAAAGCCATCAGCAAACCATGGCCTCAGCATGGCTGACTGGAAAGTTTTTAAAAGCTTAGCGCAGCCTATCATGCCTTTGTCAATCGGACCACGGCGAGATTTGATTCATCAACTCCTGAAATGGCCAATGGAAACCTTTTATTTCAGTTTCCTTCGGACGGAAGGGTTTGAATTGTTCAACAACGATGACATGACGATGCACGTGAGTGATGTGAGCGAATGTGTGATCGCCTGCGAAAAGAACAACGTAAGTCCTTGTAACTAGTTGAGATTGAAATCAGAAGGGGTTGAGCCCGTATAGCCGGATCCGACGAGCCTTCAATCCTTCTATAGTGGCATAGTTAATGTCGGATTTATCTTGGAAATAGGAGTACTGATTGGACTACGAAGTTCAAATCTTTTTGATGGGAACCAACTGCATCATCAGGGCACGCCATGGTGTTGAAGAAGGTTTCCCTGTATAGTTTCTT